TTTTACACACATTCTCAGCTTCTTAAGTAACTAGGAACTGTAATTCACTACTGTCAGAGCATGTTTACACCATGGCCACACATGACTCACACAGGAAAGCACTGTGCGTTCCTTTGCAATTCACATGCGGTTCTGTGCGGTGCAATTTCAGCCCATTAATTCTGAAAGGGCTAAGATCACACCGCACCACATATAAAGTAGTGCATGGACTACTATTTAAAATGCACTGCACCTAAATTGCATGGTACAAAAGTACCATGCGATCCACTGTGGACAAACGCACTGCGTTTGCAACCTGCGTTTGGAGCGTCATTAGCCTTCTACTGGCTGCAGATCGCAAACTGAGTGGGTGTTGCATGCAGTCTGATTTGCAAAGGGATGCACAGTGCATTCCTGTACAATTCATGGGCAGCCATGGTGTGAACTGGCCCTCAAGCTGACTGTTGGCTGTCTAATATACCATTAACGCCTTAAAGAGCTGTCATTTCTATTATGCAATTGCATAGGGGGCTACCAGCAATAAAGGTAAGTGTAAAAAAATAAAAGTAACAAAATAAACAATGAATTAAAAAAAAAAAAACACACACATAAATGTTTAAAGTCTCCCACTCCTATGCACATATAAAAGTGATGATTGAGCTACACAAATTAGGTATCACCAAGCATGCTGGAGTGAGAGCAATATTTCTAGGGCCATCAGTCATGGTCAACTTTAAAGCCGATAACATGCAAAGGCCTTTAAAATGTCATCTACAGTTGCAAGAAAAAGTATGTGAACCCCTTGGGATTACGTGGAGTTTTGCATGAATTGGGCATAAAATGTGCTCTGAACGTCATCTAAGTCACAACAATAGAAGAACACAGTCTGCTGAACATAATACTAAACAAACATTAGATGTTGCCATGGTTTAATTGCACATAACATGTAAACATTCACAGTGCAGGGAGGAAAAAGTATGTGAGGCCCTAGCTTAATGACTTCTCCCAGAGCTAATTGGAGCCAGAAGTGAGCCAACCTTGACTCCAATCAGTGTGATGATATTGGATGTGTTGCTGACAGCTGTCCTGCCCTTAAAAAAAACCCACCTGTTTTGGGTTTACTGATTTCAAGAAGCACTGTCTGATGTGAACCATGCCTCGCAGAAAAAAAGCTCTCAGAAGACCTACGATCAAGAATTGTTGTCTTGCATGAAGCTGGAAAGGGTTACAAAAGTATCTCCAAAAGCCTTGATGTTCATGTGTCCACGGTAAGACAGACTGTCTACAAATGGAGAAAGTTTAGCACTGTTGCTACTCTCCCTAGGCGTGGTCGTCCTGTAAAAATGACTGCAAGAGCAGAATGCTGCATGAGGTAAAGAAGAATCCCAGAGTGTCAGCTAAAGACCTACAGAAATCTCTGGCACATGCTAACATTTTTGTTGACACATCTACAATAAGGAAAACATTAAACAAGAATGGAGTACATGGGAGGACACCACGGAGGAAGCCATTGCTGTCCAAAAAGAATATTGCAGCACATTTGAAGTTTGCAAAAGAGCACCTGGATGTTCCACAGCACTACTGGCAAAATATACTGTGGACAGATGAAACCAAGATTGAGTTGTTTGGGAAGAACACACACAACACTATGTGTGGAGAAAAAAAAGGCACAGCACACCAACATCAAAACCTCATCCCCACTGTAAAACATGGCGGAGGGAGCATCATGGTTTGGGGCTGCTTTGCTGCCTCAGGGCCTGGACAGATTGTTGTAATTGATGGGAAAATTAATTCCAGAGTTTATCAAGACATTTTGCAGGAAAACATACGACCATCTGTCCGCCAACTGAAGCTCCGCAGAGGATGGGTGATGCAACAGGACAATGACCCAAAGCATACAAGTAATTCAACAGAACAATGGCTGCAACAGCACAGAATACGCCTTCTGGAGTGGCCCAGTCAGAGTCCTGACCTCAACCCGATTGAAATGCTGTGGCATGACCTTAAGAGACATCCCAAGAATATTGCTACACTGAAACAGTTTTGTGAAGAGGAGTGGTCCAAAATTACTCCAGATCGTTGTGCGGGTCTGATCTGCAACTACAGGAAACGTTTGGTTGAGGTTATTGCTGCGAAAGGAGGGTCAACCAGTTATTAAGTCCAAAGGTTGACATACTTTGTCCTCCCTGCACTGTGAATGTTTACATGTTATGTGTAATTAAACCATGGCAACATCTAATGTTTGTGTAGTATTATGTTCAGCAGACTGTGTTCTTCTATTGTTGTGACTTAGATGACGTTCAGAGCACATTTTATGCCCAATTCATGCAAAACTCCACGTAATCCCAAGGGGTTCACATACTTTTTTCTTGCAACTGTATGAACAATTTTGGGTATCAAAATGTATTGCCGTTTCATGGATGTGTGCAATTTCAAGGCTTAACATGTTTGGTATCTATTTACTCAACTCAACCTCATTTTTACTGTATATTTTGTGCACTAAAATCAACCTAAGTTACATAGCTAATCTGGCTGAAAAAAGACAAAAGTCCATCCAGTTTAACCATAAAAAAAAAAAAAAAAAAAAAGTGTTACAATCCTATACCCACAGTTGATCAAGAGGAAGACAAAAAACCCAGCAAAGCATGGCCCAATTTGCTCCTGCAGGGGAAGAAAATCCTTCCTGATCCCCCAAGAGGCAATCAGATATTCCCTGGTTCAACTTTACCTATAAATGATAGTATTATGTGCATCTAGGAAAGAATCCAGGCCTTTTTAAAGCAATCCACTGAGCTGGCCAGAACCAACTCTTGAGGGAGTCTATACCACATTTTCACAGCTCTTACTGTGAAGAAACCTTTCCGTATGTGGAGATTAAATGTCTTTTCCTCCAGATGTAAAGAGTGCCCCCTTGTCCTCTGTGATGACTTCAGGGTGAATAGCTCTACATCGAGTTCACTATATTCACTGATTGGTCACAGCAGGTCACATGGTACTGGCAACGGGGCCGGTACACAGATCTGTCATCGGCCGTGTCCGAGGTACACGGCCGGTGACAGATCATACCGCGGCGCGGCCCTGCGGGCATGCACAATGCGCACTCTGAAAAGGACGCCATATGGCATCCACTTGGAGGGACGAGGTGTTCGCCCGGCCGCCATCTGGCTATAGGCTGGGCGGAAACCAGTTAACGCATGTCATGTTTGGTATCCATTTACTCGTTGTAAGATCATCTTTTATATTTTAGCAAACAATTGTGCAATATAATATGTTTTTGTGCATTCAATTCCAAAAAGTTTATTTTTTCCTGCATTTGAAAAATCGCTGCACAAATATTGTGTGACATACAAAATTTCAACACCCACCATTGTATTCTCTAGGGCCTCCACTTTAAAAAAAAATATATAATGTTTGGGGGTAATTTTCTAGCAAAAAAAAGTGTTTTCAAGTAAACAAAAAGTGTTAGAAAAGGCTTGGTCTTCATGTGGTTATGTGATGTGTGGCACAAGCTTTTAATGTTGGCCCTGAAATGCCAGGATAGTAGAAGCACCCCCAATCCCCCCAAATGACACCTTTTTGGAAATTAGACACTCTAAAGTATTTGCTAAGAGGCATGATGAGTGTTTTGCAGATCTCATTTGTTTTTGGAAAACAAAGAAAGAAAACAAAAGTTTATTTTTTATTTTCCTTAATCTTTTTCAAAACCCTGTGTCAAAAATGATATCTGCAAAATACTCACCATGCCTCTGGGGTGTCTACTTTCCAAAAAGGGGTCAATTTGGGGGGGTGGGGTGTTTGTACTATCCTGGCATTTTAGGGCCTCTGAAACTGTGATAGGTACTGAGGAAGTGATATGAGGATGCCCTTTGAAAGACTGGGAGGTGGTCTTTGGTTTTTGGGGGCCTGTATGTAGCTAGGCTGCCAAAAAGTCTCTGACATGTGGTATCCCCATACTCAGGAGAAGTAGCAGATTGTGTTTTGGGGGTGTTGTTCTACATATACCCATGGCATGCATGAGTATCATATCATTTAATGGACAACTGTGTAAAAAAAAAAAAAAAAAATGTAATTTTTCAAAAATGTATGGCAAAAAATAAAATGTTCCATAGACTCAACATGCCTCTAATCAAGTTCCTTGGGGTGTATACTTTAAAAAAAATGGATCATTTGTGGGGTTTTTGTACTGCCCTGGCATTTTTGCCCCTCAAGAAATGTGATAAGCAGTCAGAAAGTAAAAGCTGCATAAATTCCAATATATATACACCATAGTTTGTAGATGCTATAAAACTTTCACACAAACCAATAAATATTCATGTATTTGGATTTATTTTTACCAAAGACATGTAGCAGAATACGTTTTCGCCTAAATTTATGACTAACTTTGAGTTTTCTATATATTTTTTATAATAAAGTAAAAAATATCAGGGTTTTTTTTTTGTTTATATCACAAAAAATAAAAACCATTGGTGATTAAATACCACCAAAAGAAAGCTCTATTTGTGTGAAAAAAGGACATAAATTCCATTTAGGTATAGCATTGCATGACCGCACAATTACAAGTTGAAATAGCATGTGTTTTATTGAAATGAAATGTCTGTTTTATTTATTCTTTGTACCCGTAGAAAGGAAAAGAAAACAATCGTATGCATTTTGGTTTTTTTTGTCCTATCTAAACACACTGACACCAACGCTTGCACTGACACTAAATATAATACCTTTTTTTCTGACCGAAAATACACTGACCCCAACATTGTTACTAACTGACACTAACACTGACACTCACTAAACTAGATCCCTGATCTAGTTCATTTCTATTTATTTATTATTTTCAACATACTTAAAGCTGTGGCTCAACCACCTGTTTTTATGGCCCACATAGCAGCAATATGGAGTTCCATTATTGTTCATGAGATTGTGGGAGTTGAGGACCCCTCAGTATTACAGACTGGATGTGGGGAATTTTTATTTTTCTAGGAAATCCCCATTAACAGCATAATGTATTCAGGGAATATGAAAGCAAAATAATTTCTCATGCACTTACCAAAACATGTTTGGGACATGCATTCAGCTGTGGAATGTGGCTTGTAAGGCAGACCAAGGGACCCAGGGCACAGAGCACAGAGTCCAGAAGAACAGAGAGACTACCAGATACAGCAACCATGCCCTTGAAAAAAGAAGTGAGGTAATTGAGGCTATGACAGAATAAGGTAAACAATTTTTATATTCAAAGTATTAATCTGTTATCATAAACTAAATGTAGGCCTCTAGGGAAGCCAGCATGTACCTTTATAGATATTCACAAATCTCCTGGGAGATCTAATATGCAAATATCAACTTAGCTAGGAAAGTCGAACATGGTCCTGGCCCCTTCCACCAAACAGAAAAATATATACTGCAGCAAATTACTTTTGTAACGATAAGAAGGCAACAAAATGTTCACATATAAAATACTGTACAACATTAAATATACAATGTATCCACAAGCAGAATAATACAGAGACAAGCAAAGTATAAGGGTAAGTGAGTCATAGTACACAAAGTGGATAAAGGTTTAAAGTACATATATAAATACAAAAGAATAATTAGTTCCTCTTTGTATTCAGTTTTTGCCTTATTTTAAACACTTGAGTCCCTCGTGTCACATTCAAATGGCACAGAGACAGTGGATGTTTGCCCCAGAGCCCTTTCAAAATGTCACCAGAAATCAGATTTACTTTAACCACTGGCTATCAGTGAGAACCAGCTTCCAGTTCCAAGTTGAGGAGCCAAAATGGGCTTCTATACATACATACATACACACACACACACACACACCAAAAACGGTTGCACTTAAATCTTATGTCTGTGTTAGACAGGAGGAGGGTGCATGTGGCCTTAGGCACCAAACATGTCGATATTACAAGGTTCAGAAGAATACAGAATAAAAGACACCTTAGACTATATATATATATATATATATATATATATATATATATATATATATATATATATATATATATATATATATATATATATACTATATTTCCAAAAGTATTGGGACGCCTGCCTTTACATGCACATGAACTTTAATGGCATCCCAGTCTTAGTCCATAGGGTTCAATATTGAGTTGGCCCACCCTTTGCAGCTATAACCACTTCAACTCTTCTGGGAAGGCGGTCCACAAGGTTTAGGAGTGTATCAATGGGAATGTTTGACCATTCTTCCAGAAGAGGTCATGACGTCGGATGAGAAGGTCTGGCTCGCAGTCTCCACTCTAATCCATCCCAAAGGTGTTTTATCAGGTTGAGATCAGGACCAGTCAAGTTCCTCCACCTCAAACTCGCTCATCCATGTCTTTATGGACTTTGCTTTGTGCACTGGTGCGCAGTCATGTCGGAACAGGAAGGCGCCATCTCCAAATTGTTCCCACAAAGTTGAGAGCATGAAATTGTCCAAACGTCTTGGTATGCTGACACCTTAAGAGTTCCCTTCACTGGAACGAAGGGGCCAAGCCCAACTCCTGAAAAACAACCCTACACTGTTATGCCCCCTCCACCAAATTTTACACTTGGCACAATGCAGTCAGGCAAGTACCGTTCTCCTAGCAACTGCCAAGCCCAAACACATCCATTGGATTGCAAGACAGAGAAGCATGATTCCTCACTCCAGAGAACACGTCTCCACTGCTCTAGAGTCCAGTGGTGGTGTGCTTTAAGCCACTGTATCTGACGCTTTGCATTGCACTTGGTGATGTAAGCCTTGGATGCAGCTGCCCGGTCATGGAAACCTATTCCATGAAGCTCTCTACGCACTGCTGTACTAATCTGAAGGCCGCATGAAGTTTGGAGGTCTTTAGCTATTGACTCTGCAGTTGGCAACTTCTGCGCATTGTGGGCTTCGGCATGCGCTAACCCCACTCTGTCATTTTACGTGGACTACCACGTCGTGGCTGAGTTGCTGTTCCCAGTTGCTTCCACTTTGTTATAATACCACTAACAGTTGACTGTGGAATATTTAGTAGCAAGGAAATTTCATGGATGGGCTTATTGCACAGGTGGCAACCTATCACGTTACCACACTTGACTTCAGAGTTCCTGAGAGCAACCCATTCTTTCACAAATGTTTGTAGAAGCAGTCTGCATGCCTAGGTGCTTGATTTTATACACCTGTGGCCATGGAGGCGATTAGAACACCTGAATCCAATGTTATCACCTTTTTGAAATTATATAAACATACTCATATTCAAATAAATGAATATAATAATAATAAAAACTCAAAAAGTCAAAAAAAGTCACCAATACAAAGTGTCCCAATAAAAATGTCCCAATCCAAACAAAAATAGTGTCCAAAATGTCCCAATGTTCAAGCTTTATCATCCAATAGGAAGAAATTCCATTTCGTCCCGTGGTACCTCAAAAAAGCAAATTTAAATAATCTAGTGCATTACCTTTATAGATAATATAATCACTCTGTGCAAAAACACAAAAACACAAAAACTGTGCAAAAACTATATATATATATATCTCTTCCGTGCACATATGAGTTAACTGTGACCACTCTGTGAACACTGCAACACTGTGTATCCACCAACACCAATAGTATTAGATACTATTACCCTCTGTATCCATATACCAGCATCCAATGAGATCTTCTAATTTGCTCCCAAGAAATTATTCCAAGGTCCTCAAAAGACAAGAAGGGTCTCAAGGCTCATATTCAGGGTATAATTAAGAAATCTTTAATAGCCACTTACATTAAAACTTCATTAATCCAGCTTCCAACATGGTTTTTGTGTGAGCTCTATCAAACAAATGCAAATGCCATGTGTTGACAACCCACAAAATGGCCGCGGCGACACTTCCGGTCTGCGTGCGTGCGTCACGACGTCACACCCTTAACGCGTTTCGTCACTTCCGGACTTCGTCTGGCGAAGTCCGGAAGTGACGAAACGCGTTAAGGGTGTGACGTCGTGACGCACGCACGCAGACCGGAAGTGTCGCCGCGGCCATTTTGTGGGTTGTCAACACATGGCATTTGCATTTGTTTGATAGAGCTCACACAAAAACCATGTTGGAAGCTGGATTAATGAAGTTTTAATGTAAGTGGCTATTAAAGATTTCTTAATTATACCCTGAATATGAGCCTTGAGACCCTTCTTGTCTTTTGAGGACCTTGGAATAATTTCTTGGGAGCAAATTAGAAGATCTCATTGGATGCTGGTATATGGATACAGAGGGTAATAGTATCTAATACTATTGGTGTTGGTGGATACACAGTGTTGCAGTGTTCACAGAGTGGTCACAGTTAACTCATATGTGCACGGAAGAGATATATATATATATAGTTTTTGCACAGTTTTTTGTGTTTTTGTGTTTTTGCACAGAGTGATTATATTATCTATAAAGGTAATGCACTAGATTATTTAAATTTGCTTTTTTGAGGTACCACGGGACGAAATGGAATTTCTTCCTATTGGATGATAAAGCTTGAACATTGGGACATTTTGGACACTATTTTTGTTTGGATTGGGACATTTTTATTGGGACACTTTGTATTGGACTTTTTTTGACTTTTTGAGTTTTTATTATTATTATATTCATTTATTTGAATATGAGTATGTTTATATAATTTCAAAAAGGTGATAATATTGTGTTACTTTCTGGGGAGAAAGTGTGACTTTTTGAGGAGTTTTGGGGGGAGGTGATTTATACACATATTTATACCTGAATCCAATGATTTGGAGGTGTGTCCCAATACTTTTGGCAATATAGTTTACATAAGATCTATATCATATTTGGTACCTAGAAAATTGTAATTTCATGCTACTAAATATGCTGTCAGATAGTGAAACTTTGTCAAGAAATCTAAATGTAATTTAGGATAGCTAGCTTTGAAAGTGTGTCTATTGAGCATAATAAAATACTCAATTAGAGTGTCTACAGAGTGCCATAATTGAAACCCAGTGTCTGAAGGTCAAAATGAAGGCGAGCCTAGCAATGTCCAGTAAAGCCCAGTTCCAGTTTATTCAGTGTAGAATAATGGGTGGTTATTGTGTTAGTGAAATCAAGAACATCTGCACAGCCAATTCCTCACGCTAGGGTGTACTGCATGAATAGGGTAATTTCCGGGTGGACCAAGATGGCGGCAACGCCGTAAGTACGCCGTAACACAGTTTCCGGAGCGTGGTGATGCACTTCCGGCGTCGCCACCATCTTGGTCCACGCGGAAATTACCCTATTCATGCAGTACACCCTAGCATGAGGAATCGACTGTCTGACTGCTTGTGAATTAATGTGAGTGGACAATATTAAAATTATGTGGAATTAAAGGAATATCTTTTACATACTACAATATGGAGGATCTTTTTTCTCTCACCCTATGGGGTGAGAAATATGCTTAACACATTTACTTCTTGTGATACCTGGAATATCCTATGGAGTAAGGGGGAGAGGAACTACAGGTCCTGCAATTGCCTGGTATGGTTGGAGTAGGATCCATTAGAGATACTGAAAGTGAAGTGGCCCACTGGTTCGCAGAAGGGAGGTGAGGAGGCAATTTAGCCGTTAAGGATTGAAGTGTGCTGACACTTTCAGTGTTACCATCACCATATCACGTTGCATGGTTTTTGTCATTTGGAAGCACTTGTTTATGGACTATTACATTTGTGTGTTATTTTAGTGTACTAGTGTGATCACTTTTTTTGTTACGTGTATCCCCGGTTAGGGGTCTTGTGTTTATTTATATGAATTATTACCACTTATTTAGGTATTATCCATGATATTTGTTATATTCACTGGTCTATTAGGCACTAGGGTGACTTTAGGTCACGTGTTTATTGTAGCACTTGATGCACGTTTATTTTTTTCTATAGGTTGGTATTTATGTGTATATTTTGTGGGAGGTAGGGTTAGAGCGCTATTGTGGGTTATATTGGTTTACACTGTTAAGGTATCAGGTTCAAGTGTTGGCTGCTGTTCTATAGGACACTTCTATAAGCGCAGGAGGATATTTGTATTTATAAGTCCCACATACTGCATTCAAGGGAGTTAGTCTGGAAGCTAATCTGATCAAAAAACAATAAAACACCCACCTAAATTTTCCAAATAAACTAAACCCACAAAAACCTTATTATAGGAGGCTGAACAAAATAGTGGCACGGGTTAAGGTTGACCCAAAGGTTTTCC